GGAAATTTTCAGAGTATTCGATAAAGGAATGTTACATAATTAGTAAATTAATTTGCCTGTAGAAAAGTTAAATGCTTTAATGGGCATTTAAAAGGGCTCACCAGTGAGGAGTGGTGGTGGTTTGCTCCAAAGATGTCACGGCTGTTCRGACATGTAAAGCAGTACATAGCAGGGTCCTGGCAAGGTTTCACTCAAAATTCATTGAACAAAGAAGACAGTAATCATGGTTGTGATTTCTGTTAGGCTCTTATAAAATATAAATTGTCAAACTGTCTTTTGACAAGTACAGGTTTTGTTCCTTTTACCCCAAGTAATTTGGAGCCATCAACCCAGCAAATTAATCTTGTCTAGTTCTGTCTTCTGAAGAAATGCAGTTATAAATTAGATTGCTTCAACATGCCTGCACTATTTTAAATGTATTCACCAGTTCAAATTAGGAGATGGATTTCATACTAYATTCACAGGAGGGGTTTTGGTTCCTTAGGATTTACAGTGGCATAGGTATGCAAAGTTCCTTGCAGATGAGAAAAAGCAGGTTGCTTACTTATATCTAACTCAACTGAGCTTCTCTGAATGCAGTAACTTTGCTTTTAAGTTCACATGTAGGTCAGTGTGGAGACTCCAGTAATTTTTTTTTTTTTTTTGCCCAGTTCCTACTTTTGGCACTTAATTGCTATAGCCTTTATCAAGCCCATAACCTTATATACATTTGGGAAATGTACAGGAATATATTTCCATACAAGATAATTCATTTTAACTACATCATTCACCAGAGTAAAAGTAAAAAAAAATAAAATAAAATTAGTAAAATATTACTATGTCTGAGGTACTAAATTATTTTAGGGTTGATTTCTGTTCTCAAAACAATGTAGAGATACAGTTTTAGTAGCAGGAATAGTTCTTCTAGAAGGGCATGGATGATATTTATTGTTTTAAGTACAAATGTATTTCCCACCCAAACAACAGCACTGCATTTRTAATTAATCAATGCCTAAAACCAAGAGCGTTGCCAGTCCATAGACAAGAACGGAGCTTTTCTCTGTAGGACACTGGGACTGGAAACCTACAGCAGCACTTGACTCCAGGGCTGGGGGAAGAAGGGAGCTAAAAGTGCAGTGATTCCTCAGGGATGATTCAGTCTGGTCCAAGAAGAAAGGTGACTGTCAGAGATTCCAGATTCTGGCYGCCCCACAGCTCCCGGGTGAGATGGGATTCAGACAAGCATTTTCACGGAAACCCTGTGTTTCACCATCCCCTGAGGGGTAGTTTGGAGTCTGGCTTGGCTCCACATTTCTCCATGGCTCCCCAAGGAAGGACAGAAGCCTGAAGTTTGTGCATGGAGTAAGCATCATCAACCAAGTACATTTTAGTGCACARGTAGGGTTTTTCAAGGCTAAGCAGCCATTCCTTTAACGATTTCTTGCACAGAAGTTGTTTGTTCCTTTAATTGGCTTTGCTACCTTCCTTTACCTTTTCCAACTCACTGCATCCTTTTTGAAGCAAGTGACCAGATGGTCAGAGCTTATGTTATTCTAAGGACATAATAGGGGTACATCAGAAAAATTACTACTTGCGTTCTAGCAATGGGCAACAGCAAATCAGCTGTAATTAGTACAAAGGCTGCTACTGTAGGGTCTCTTTGTGGTGGCRGTGTGCTTTGTCATCACTCCTGTCTGCCAGGTTGAGGAAGAAGGCTGAGCTCAGGACTGGCATGGGGCCAGCTAAAGCAAAGCTTCACTTCAGTTCCCCAAGCTGCCAAGAGCACCAATAGATCCAGAGCAGCTTCTGGAAGCCCTGTGAGCTGGAGATCTAGAGGCTGTGAGATCTAGAGGTCAGAGTCTTGGAGGCTTTGCTTCTTCTAAGCAGAATCTGTTYATTCCCATGCAAATCAGCCCAACTGCTGAGTTCAGTGAGTTTGCATAGACCAGCCCCACCTGACAATTGGTCAAAGGTATGAAGAACAACTTCTCTTCAGGCTTTTATCTTCCTCCAGTGTTGTATCAAAGTGCCTTTGTTAGTGACAAGTAAGTATCCTTCATTAAAATACAGCTTTGCATCACAATTATGTAGTAGTTTTTGTTTGCTTTCCTAATTGGAGAACATTTTGAAAGAGCAATAAAACACAATTTGTTCCCTCTTCCCAAAATGAAACATCTCCTTTTGGAAGGAAGGAGGGAGTAAATTTACATTATAATGAGCAAATTGTTATGAGCCCGTAGATCAGCGTTGACATAAAGGGTGACGGAAATGAGATGTTCTCATTTTGTGCATCTGCCTGTGCATCCTGCTGTTACTGAGCAAGGAAGTGGCTGTAGCCATGGTCAACCATAGTGACACATCCTAACTCAGGGACAAATTCCTCTTAAATGAGCCATTCTTCACCAGCACTGCCTAGTGCACCTACACCCTTTCCCCAGCCATGGGGATGGCACATTCAGGGTACTACTGCACCTCCAAGCTAGTTAGTTTTTATTGGCTCTCTATTTTCTAACTAGTTTTGTCATTTCCCAGTACTATTGGAATACTGGCATGGGCTGACAGGAGAGTGCCCTTGTTTTGCTTCAGGCATGTGATTTACCTAGCAAAGCCTTTAGAAAAATGCAGGGTTGGGCTCTGCYCCTGCCCTGCTCAASCCGGGGAGTGAATGARCTGAAGCTTTTTCTCAGTTGTCACTCTGTCCTGCCCTTACTTTCTGGAAGTGGGCTGCAGCTGTCCAGACCTTTTCTCCTGCTTGTCCCTCTCRGTAACAACTGGGTTCATTACTGGTTTTGAGAAGCTGGAAGTGACATTAACCCCCTGCCCAGCTGTTGTGGTGTCAGGGCTGCAGGCAAAATGGCATTWGTTTGGCTCCTGGAGAAGTCATCCAGCGATTGCCTGGAGAGCCTCGCTGCAAGTGCAATCCATATGCAATGCTTCTGTCAGCAAAGACTTGCTGGAGGAGAGTTTATAATAAATATTCACATCTGCTGCTTTGGACACTCTAATCCATCCTACAGATCTTTGCTGTGTCAGGCTTTGTTCTAGATGAAGAAGCYGGGTAGTTATAAAGGTTTGCAAATAGGGCATATTTATCATGGTTAGCTCTACTTCCTAGTTCCCTTTTTTGCACAAATAGCCATGACCACACTAAGCATAAGTAGTAGTTAAATATTCTTGGTGCATTTGTAAGCTGTTTTAGGCTACRTGTTTCCCTTGATAAATGGAGAAATGAAGCCATCAGATCTTCATGAGCAGAACAGAGAACATCATTGTTATGACCTAGTTTGAATGGAGGGACAGTATATTCCCTGGATAAACTGTACATCACATAGACACAACCAAAGCCCTAAAAATTGTTCAAACTTCCTCCATGCTCACGTCTGTTGAGTACTATGTTCCCATTAGCTACTTGATGAACAACCTGAGTTACWAAAAACAGCAAAATATCTCCTGTTTTTCATAATCTTCCCCAAAATTATGACTTTGGTGCCAGACTGACATCGTCAGTGTCAATATTAATTATTCTTCTTCTGTGATGTCTTTGCTTTCAGAGAGAAAATCTCAATACATAAGAAAAGCTTTAATTGTTTGGAGGGTATATTGAACTTGCTCCAAATASAAAAAGGTGTTTGACCAAGATCATGGCTGACAGTACAGTGATCCCGTTGTTGTTAGGGCCACATCAGCTTTGAAATGAATGTATTGATTTTTTATTTATTTTTTTTTTTTGTGTACGTGAAACTCATTATAGTTAATTTCTAAAGGAGAGAATCTTAATCTGGAGGCTGGGTAAGAGGCACTTCAAACATATCACTTACCAGCTATTACCTCTGCTTTTATTTAAGCAGGAAGATAATAAACTTATAAACACATTCTGCCTCCTTAAGAGCATGGAAAACTGAGTCCATTTGATTTGCAAATAAGCACATGGAAACTGCAAATTCCTYAGAACCTTTTTTAGGTTTTCTTTTATTTTCTCTACTGTTAAACCCTATTCTATACTAAGGATTTAATTACCATTTTATTCCATATGGATATGAGGGAGCAAGGCACTCAGCTCAGTTAGATGCCTGAGCTTCTGGAAATTCAGCTGCARTTCATCTCCATGTCTTAGAGCGGTACAAGAAAAGCAGTGTCCAAAGCATGGTCTGATGTTGATACCTCCAAGTATTAGGAGATAGCAGGGTGGACTGCAGATGTTCTGCTCCTGTTGGTGCTCAGTCTGTGTGTCAGAATCTGGCCTGAATAATTGTATCCAAATATAAGTGATTGTCCCACCCTGCCCTGCACTGGGGCAGCCCCACCTCGAGTGCTGGGGGCAATTTTGGTCAGTGCACACAAGAAAGACATTCAGCTATCAGAGAGCATCCAAAGGGCAACAAAGATGGTGAAGGGCTTTGAGGGGAAGCTGTGTGAGGAGTGGCTGAGGGCACTTGGTCTGTTCTGCTGGAGGAGAGGACACTGAGGGAGAATCACCAGGGTCTGAAACTTCCTGGTGAGGGGAAAAGGAGGGACAGACACTGATTTCTTATCTGTGGGGACCAGTGACAGGAYGCAATGGAATGGCCTGAGGTTATGTCAGGGGAGGTTTAAGTTGGATGTTAGCATAAGATTCTTCCTCCAGATGGTGGTTGGGCACTGGCACRGGCTCCCCAAGCAATGGCCACAGCACCAAACCTGACAAGAGTTCAAGAAGTGTTTGGACAACATTCTTGGGCACAAAGTGTGACTCTTGGGGTGTCTTGTGCAGGGCCAGAAGTTGGACTCAGTGATCCAACTCAACAGATTCTGTGATTCTGTGAAAACAGCCAGGTCCCTATTGGGGAGAACATGAAGTTTCCAGACTGCCTTAATCACTCCAAAATCCAATCTCATTGTTATTGATCCATCCAACTTTCTGTTAATTTATCTCAGAAAACAGCAGTACACATGTGCGTCTTTAAAGCCATCACCTCAAAACTTCCAGCACCGCTCTCTTGTGCAGCCTTTGCCAACCCCGATGCCTTTGCTCTSTGTTTCAGGTGATGCGGTGGCTCTGGCCAGCAGCGAGGGCTCCGTGAAGATGCTGTGCCTGGTGACGGGCCAGCTGTCCGTGCTGCGGGGCCCCGGGGTCGAGGTGCGCTGTGTGCGCTTCCGTGGCCAGAATCACCTGCTCTCCGCGGGCGCCGATGGCAGGGTTTGCATCTGGAGCTGAGCACTGATACACGTGGCCTTTATCGCCTTCCAGAAAAGCGGTTTGACAACAGTAGTGTTGGCTTATATATAAGTTCATAGCTTGTGTTTGCATTATTCAGAGAATAGCCACCCAAATGGAGCATTATTTGGCATTTTATCCAAATAAACCCCTCAATTTTATCCTCTTTCTCTTGACACCTTGTTTCCCCAACACCAAGAATCTCTCTTTTGGTGGTTTCTGGAGAAACAGCTTTACAATGACGCCTAATGCCAGCGCAGCCGAATTGCARGGAGATTGATTTTTAATGTAGCGCAGCACGAGCCACAGGAGCCGGGGCGCCCCTTCCCCGGCACAGCCGCCTGTAGGAAGATGAGGCGAAGTTTCCACAATGCGGCCGTGGGGGATGCTTTCCCGGACGAGCCGGAGCCGGAGAGCGCGGAGGGGTTGAGGGGAGCCCCAACCCGTGGATCTGAGGGGAGCCGGGCTGAAGGGAGCCGGGCTGAGGGGAGCCGGGCTGAGGGGAGCCCCAGCCGGTGAATCTGAGGGGAGCCGGGCTGAGGGGAGCCCCAGCCGGTGGATCTGAACGGGGAGCGGGGCCGAGAGGAGCTGGGCTGAGGGGAGCTCTAGCCAGTGGACCAGAGGGGAGCCCCAGCCAGTAGATCTGAGGGAAGCCAGCGGATCTGAGGGGAAGCGGGGCCGAGAGGAGCCGGGCTGAGGGGAGCTCCAGACGGTGAACCTGAAGGGGGAAGCGGGACCGAGAAGAGCCGGGCTGAGGGGAGCTCCAGACGGTGGATTTGAGAGGAACCGGGCTGACAGGTGCTTCAGCCGGGCGATCTGAGGGGGATCGGCGGATCTGAGGAGAGCCGTCGC